AGTAGCAGTTCGGATTAATTTTGGAGACAAGAAACCACATGTAGCAAGCAGGATGAATTTAAAGAGGCCCAGACAAGATGGATCGTAACCATGAACATGTACAGAAAAACGCTTTTGAGTTTTCTGCAGATATGGATAATGGTACTAAAAGATGAGAACGAGGCAGAATTTCCTACCTGCATTGTGTCCCCAAGTGATGAGAACTTGTTGGAAAGCCTTGCTTTGTTCGTTGGTGGTTGCAAGTTATAGGATCCAGTCACTTTGCCTCTGTAATGTGTGGTGCCATAGGTGTGTCTTGATGACTATTTATGAGGACCATGTGATTGTTGGTTTGTGGTTGATGGGTGTTGACTATGTGGATTTAGACTTGAAGGCCTCTGAAAAAGCCTCTACAAATTTAGGACAAGAGTCATTATCTCAGGCTTCCCTGGTAGTCAAGTGATTAAGAACTCACCTGCCAAGGCAGAGGACACAGGTGCAATCCCTGGTCTGGGAAGATACCACACGCCGCGGAGCAACTAAGCCCATGTGCCACAACTACTGAGCCAGTAGCTCTAGAGCCCACGAGCCACAGCTACTGGACTTGCGAAACTAGAGCCAGTGCTCCGCAATAAGAGAAGCCAAGGCAATAAGAAGCCCGCACATCGCAACTGGAGACTGCTCCTGCTCGCCGCAACCAGAAAAAGCCTGCATGCAGCAACCAAGACCCAGTGCAGCCAAAAATAAATATCTTAAAAAAAAAAAAGGAAAAAATCCTTGGCTCCATTCTGATACTTACGGTTAGGCAGTTCACTCTTATAGGTAGTGTAGCATAGCCATTGTCAGAAAATTAAGAAAATTGTCCAACACAGGATATGAATTGTCTCATTCTCGTGAATGAATCCGTATGTTTAGTAATGTATAGTTCTGAGAGGGAACAGGTTGATTATGGAGTCTATTAAGTGATGGGTTTCTGGGAACTGTAGGGGATTGGAATGGGGTGTTCCAGTGACCTGCTGTGGCATAACCACTACAACCTTAATGATATAAATGAAGAACCATCTTATTATGTTTCTGTGGGTCAGGATTTCAGAGCAGAGCAAGGATACTTGCCTCACTTAGCTTACTGATGCCTGGACCCTCATCTGAAAAGACTGAGAAGGCTGTTCAGTTCAGTCGCTCAGTTGTGTCAGACTCTTTGCGACCCCATAAACCGCAGCACGCCAGGCCTCCCTGTCCATCACCAACTCCAGGAGTCCACCCAAACCCATGTCCATTGTGTCGGTGATGCCATCCAACCATCTCATCCTCTGTTGTCCCCTTCTCCTCCCACCCTCAATCTTTCCCAGCATCAGGGTCTTTTCAAATAAGTCAGCTCTCTGCATCAGGTGGCCAAAATATTGGAGTTTCAACTTCAACATCAGTCCCTCCAATGAACACCCAGGACTGATTTCCTTTAGGATGGATTGGTTGGATCTCCTTGCAGTCCAAGGGACTCTCAAGAGTGTTCTCCAACACAACAGTTTAAAAGCATCAATTCTTTGGTGCTCAGCTTTTATAGTCCAACTCTCACATCCATACATGACCACTGGAAAAACCATAGCCTTGACTAGACGGGCTTTGGTGGCAAAGTAATGTCTCTGCTTTTTAATATGCTGTCTAGGTCGGTCATGACTTTTCTTCCAAGGAGCAAGCGCCTTTTAATTTCATGGCTGCAATCACCATCTGTAGTGATTTTGGAGCCCAGAAAAATAAAGTCAGCCACTGTTTCCACTGTTTCCCCATCTATTTGCCATGAAATGATGGGACAAGATGCCATGATCTTAGTTTTCTGAATGTTAAGCTCTAAGCCAACTTTTTCACTCTCCTCTTTCACTTTCATCAAGAGGCTCTTTAGTTCTTCACTTTCTGCCATAAGGGTAGTGTCATCTGCATATCTGAGGTTATTGATATTTCTCCTAGCAATCTTGATTCCAGCTTGTGCTTCTTCTAGCCCAGCGTTTCTCATGGTGTACTCTGCATATAAGTTAAATAAGCAGAGTGACAATATACAGCCTTGATGGACTCCTTTTCCTGTTTGGAACCGGTCTGTTGTTCCATGTCCAGTTCTAATTGCTGCTTCTGACCTGCATACAGGTTTCTCAGGAGACAAGTCAGATGGTCTGGTATTCCCATCTCTTTCATAATTTTCTACAGGAAAGGCTGAAGGTAACTCAAATGTCTTGGTGGTGGTGGTTTAGTTGCTCAGCTGTGTCCGACTCTTGCAATCCCATGGACTGTAGCCGACCAGGCTCTTCTGTCCATGGGAATCTCCATGCAAGAATGCTGGAGCAGGTTGCCATTTCCATCTCCAGGGGATCTTCCTGACCCAGGAATCAAGACCAGGTCTCCTCCATTGCAGGCAGGTTCTTTACCAGCTGAGCTGTGAGGGAAGCCCAACTCAAATGTCTTAGGATTGAGAAATCATGTGGCGGTTTCTTCATGGAAACAACTGATACCTGAGCAGGGATGACTCAAAGGCTGCATTCAGCTGGGGTTGTTGACCAGGAGTGCTTACATGTAGCCTCTCCATGTGGCTTGGGCTTACTCAGAGCACAGTGGCCTCAGGGTAGTTCATTTTCTTACAAGGTGGCTCAGGAATCCAGGAGTATTCCAGAGAAGAAGGTAGACTCAGTGTGGCCTTTTCTGGCTTAGCATCACTTCTGCTGTACCCCATTTGTTGAAGCAGACATAAACCAATCAGACTCAACAGCAAGGTACTTAGATGCCCCCTCCAACATCTCAATGAAGGGAGACACTGCAAGTTAAAAAGGGTTACAGAGACTTCTCTAGCGGTCCAGTGGTTAAAATTTTGGGCTTCCAACACAGAGGGCATGGGTTCAACCTCTGGTTGGGGAACTAAGAGCCCACATGCTGCAGGGCTCAGTCGAAAAAGGAAAAAAAAAAAAGTTACAATGTGTATTGCCTCTTAGAATTCTCAGGATTTTTGGACCAAGTTCATGTTTCATATAGCTCTGTAGAGTGGAAGGCTTTCTGCCAAATTTGAGGCTACCAGTAGTCAAGGCTTAAAGGAGATTTGGTGGACTGAGGGGATAACCTTGTGATACAAAGGACCTCATCCACCCAAATGTATAGGTGGCCATGACATCTTAGCAGGCCTTTTCTGTCTTCTCTCCTCTGTAGCCAGGAGTGCATGATTCAAGATCTTCTTCTGGCTCTGCTGGTCATAGACGATTACTGTCTTCTTGCTGACAGACAAATCTGATTCTTTTACTACCTTACAGTCTTTTAAGGATTCCCTATCATCTCTAAGATAAAGTCCACGGTCATAAGCATCACATTAGCACCTTCATGATCTGACCTTGACCACTGAAAATTCAGATGCTATGCTATCATCCAAAATATGAAAGGCAGCATTTATATAATTATCGAGTTCAAATACCAGCTCTGCTGGGACTCATTAATTTTCTAGAGTACAACTGAAAGGGTTTCTTCCTTCAATTGAGGGCAGACTGCAACAAAAATGGCCTAGTTTTCCACTTTCTCCTCTGTTCAGCCAGTTCACAAGGGCCTGCAAATGGATTCCAACTCTGGAATTAGCACCTTAAGGTAAGGATTGGTTGTTTATATGAAATTAAAATAACTGGGTATTTGCATTTACTTGCCAATTCTGGTAACCCTACGTTAAGGCCAACCCCAGCTTTCCCTGGTTCATTGATTACAGAGTAAATACTGGTATAGACCGAGAAGAGGACTAAGTGTGTTTGTTTCCTTCCTTCTCACCAAACTATTTAACCTTTTAACATTGACATACCGGGGTGAACTGGAAGAGCCACTTCCAATTCTTTAAGCTCTAAATGTCAGCACGTTATTATCATTGTTGTTTTCAGGTTTTACATTGCTATAGCATGACTATGAGACGGACAGTGTCACTAATTACGACAATTTCCTTAAACTGGAGCAGAAAGATGTTGCATGAAGTCTTGAAATCTAAGACACGGGAAATTAAGTTACATAAGTAGCAGATGTTCAGGCTGAGGATGGAACAGAGCTGTAACAAGAACTCTCAATTATTTCTCCCCTGAGGCTGGGACTAGAACTAAGGGAGAAAGTTGTAATCTTTCTTTCTGTTTTACCAGTAAGTCGTATCACGGCCACCACTTAGCCCTTTATCTCTCATCACTATTTGTAATTCCATAATCAGGCTAACCGCCGCACCAGATTTTTCTAAAGTAGTTCTCTCCACCCCCCCCACCCCGCCCCCTGGTAAATTTCACCAGGAAAAAGAAACAGTAAAGTTCAAACAGTGCAAATGGTTACACAATGCAAGTCTCCCTTTCATCCTGATCCCTAGTTCTAGGCCGAAGGTTCCTAACTCGATTTAGGAACTGGAGCCGAAGGGAATGTTTCCAGAGCAATGTGAATTCCCTGAACGCGCGATCTTCAGTGGACTGATAATTGTGCATCCAAACTTTTGCCTGCATTTCGAAAGGGTTCTGAGAACTCCCGAAGAAGGACTGGCTGAAAGGAGAGATGAAGCTGGAGGCTCGGCAGCAGCTGGTAAAAACCTGTCATAACTCGTCCCAGCGAAAAAAAGTTACCCCTCAACCACCCAACCCTGGCCCCCAAGGAAAAACTCTGTTCCCCGTGGGCGGGATCACGGATCTACCCTTCCCGAGTTTCTTCCCTGCCGCATTCCTGCCCTCCGGCGCGTCGGCGTGCGCTGACGTCACGACGCCGCGCGCGCGCAGTCCCGCCCCTGCAGAGCTCGGCGCTGGGACGGAGCCCAGGGTTTTCGCAGACCCGGAATGTGAGGCCTCGGCGCGGCTGGCCCCGCTTCTCTGGCGAGTTCTCCCCCCACCCCCGGGCCTGCGCCCGCCGCCCGCAGCTCAGCCGGGAGGAGTCAGGGCGGCCGCGCCCTTCTGCCGTGTGCCCGCGTGGCCGCCGCCGCCGCCGCCGCCCCTCGGATTCCTCCGGGGCCGCTGAGGAGTTCGCTACGGAGGGAGGCGGGGGCCTTCGGGAGGAGGAGGCGGAGGAGGCGGAGGAGGCGGAGGGAAGGAAGATGGCGGCCGTGGAGCTCGAGTGGATCCCAGAGACTCTGTATAACACCGCCATCTCCGCTGTGGTGGACAACTACATCCGCTCCCGCCGCGACATCCGCTCCTTGCCCGAGAACATACAGTTCGACGTGTACTACAAGGTACGGGCCGTGGGCGACGGGCCGTGGGCCTGCTCTTCCCGCCTCAGCCCCTGGGGCCGCACCCCCTTCCACGTCCGCGAACCCCCGCGTTTAACCCCTCACCCTTCGTAGTGGGATCGGCGCCCCGAGACCTCTGGGGCGGTGCCGGGCTGTCCGGTGTAGAAACGCTCCATCTGCTATCTTCGTGTTTCAAGCTCTCGGGCCTTGATGGATGGATATCTCTTCGCAGTGAGGACCCCCCCCCCGCTTTTGGTGTTCCCTCGTACCTCGGGGCCCCTCTGGGTAGGCCTCTCGCGTGGACTTCCTCTATTGCGCCCTTGTCCCACTCAGTCCTTGCCTTCCAGCCTGTGACTTCGGGAATATTTTCTGCCCTCTTTTCCCAGTTAAGTGTCAGCATCAGCTGGACTTATTATATATATATATATATTTTTTTTTTTTGCTTTTCCACCCTCCTTTTTGCCTTCTCCTCTCTCCTGCCTCCTTCGCAAGTATTTTTCTTTTCTTGCTTCGTGTCACCTTTCTCGTCGGTCATTGGGAGGAAGTTGAGGAATTATTGGAAGTAGTGGTGTGCTTTATTCGCATATCCTTTGAAGCTGTGGTTTTTGTTTGTATTGATCCTTGCGATTGTATAGGCGGTTTTATTAATACGGGAATGGTGATAAACTACCTGAAAGGAAGAAAGTCTTTCTTTAAAAAAAAAAAAACAGACAAAAAACACTTTAGAATGTAAATCATGTTCATGTAGTTGAAAGTTGCAATCTTGCAGCATTTCTGAATCGCTCCCCCTCAAAAATCTGAACAAAAAGTCTCCAAGTTCAGTTTCCAAGGAGGTTCAAGGGTAAGTGTCTTTAGACGTGGACAGTCTTGCAGTGTTTAGAGAGGGAGGAGAACTTTATGGACTCGGAGCCTCCCTTCTCCTCTCCCCCCACATTTGAATGTGAACAGTGGCCTTATTATTCAGTCCTCCTTGCCTTGAATCGGCGTGGATATCTCCTCTTCTCCAGTAGCCACCCATGCAGAATTTGACCAGAAGTAAAAGTATGATTTATTTTTTAGATCTAAACACTTCCTCTTGATTTGTAAGTTGGCTGGAACATTGTAAACTAAGATTTAACAGATGTGTATGTTCTTACATATATATGGTGTTTTATGGCAGTTGTTTCATTGGGAAGATAGCCCGCTTTCTCCACCCCGGAATATTTTTTCAGAAAGCTGCTGACTTGCTATATTCTGTCTACTAAATCCAGCTGCTTTACACCAGTTTAACAATTTTTACCCGCTAGATATTTGGAGAATATTCATTTTGGTCATTTATATTATTATTTGGGGGGGGGGGTTGTTAAAAACCTCCCTTTATTCCAGATCCCTTTGATACATTGATTTACTTTTGTGTGTGTCTAAGGAAGTTTTGTGTATTTAAAATGTATTCCTCCTGAGTTAAGAGTTCTTTCTCAGCCTGGGAATCGGCAACTTTGTGTGTGTGGTAACTGTATCCATTTTATTATATCGTATATTGTAACATTTTACAATTTTTAGAGAAAATCATTGGAAATTTAATCAAAGTACATTCAGTGGTTGAATTTCCTCAAAGTACCTGGATTTCTTCTAGTAACTTTCATTTCTAATTGAAGCTTTTCATTTGAGGATTATTAATAGTGATTGAACAGATGGTGCTTTTTGCCACATTTTGTGTTTCACATAGTCCACAAAGTTTTAATATGGCGTCTTTTGGGTACACACTTTTTTTTTTTTTTTTTTTTGGGTACACATTTTATTCCTTAATAGTTGTCTGCCTGTTGGGAATGTGGCACTGTGCTAAAGAAAAGGACGGTATTTAACATATGCCTGAAACTGTAAGTGCTCTTAACACAGTTATTTTGTTTAAGCCTCACAACTTAACTGTAAATTAGGGTATTAACCTGTTTTATAGGTGAGAAAGTGAAGTAATTTAATCAAGGTCTCATACCCAATATTCCTGTTTACCTTGCTTTCTTGCTTACTGTTTCCGGTTTTCTCCAGTTTCCAATTTTCTTCAGTTTATGGTTTCCAACGAGAAACCCATAATCAGATCCCTCCAGTTGCCCCAACTTCCATCAATAGGCATAGTCACAGACAAAATTACATTATTTGTGCATCAAAAATTCCCCCATCCCGATTCACCGTAGTTCACTGTCACTCTGTTAATTTTTGTCAGTAGCTTCAGGTGCAGCTTTAGGAAATGTGGTTATGGAATAAATAGGAGATGAAGAAGCAGGTGTGCTGTGACTGCTCCTAAGAAGGGAAGGGAGAGAGAGGGATTGATCTGTAGAAGGGTAAAATGTGAAAGTCGTTGTTAAAAGTTTAAGGATGCTGGTGCTGCTGCTGCTAAGTCGCTTCAGTCGTGTCCGACTCTGTGTGACCCCATAGATGGCAGCCCACCAGGCGCCCCCGTCACTGGGATTCTCCAGGCAAAAACACTGGAGTGGGTTGCCATTTCCTTCCCCAATGCATGAAAGTGAAAAGTGGAAGAGAAGTTGCTCAGTCGTGTCCGACTCTTAGCTACCCATGGACTGCAGCCTACCAGGCTCCTCCGTCAATGGGATTTTCCAGGCAAGAGTACTGGAGTGAGTTGCCATTGCCTTCTCCGAAAGTTTAAGGATGGAAGATGTTAAAATATACTTCTTGTCTGAATGACAGACACCAAAACAGAATGAGAGGTTGAATATACAAATGAGGCAGGAAATAAATTATGGAGCAGAGACCCTGAATAGAGACATTAATTGAATGAACTTTGCCCCTTCTTTCACCATCCATTAATTAAGGTACCAGTCTTACATTGGAGTTGGGGAAAAGACTACTACTTCCTCTAAGACCAGATGGAAAGAGGTAAAGACATAAAGTATAAACATAGGTAAGTTTGCGAAGAATGGTTGTAAGGAATTAGGATAGGATCACTTGCTGACAGTAAGGGACGGTAGTGGTGACTTTTATGTATAAAGGCTAAACAGAAGTTGGAATGGCTGCTAAAGTATATAGAAAAGGATGCTCACTAAAAATATGTTTTTTAAAAAATTGACAGAAGATATAGATGGTTCAATAAAACAGTACTCTGCTGAATGATGTCTCTGACTCAGAATGATGTTTCTCTAAGGGCACTCAACGATTTGGGAATAGAAGTAGATAAAGTGAATAGAAAGAATTATGAAATTATATACCAAGTGAAAGCAAATAGAGTGAATGGCTGGGTTCCTCAAAGAATGAAGTTTGTGATCTTTTTATTGTAACTGCTGAATGGTCTGTTTTATATCCTGTTCCAGTGACAGGATTTGCCATAGAGTTAAATTTTGACCAGGTGAAGTGTTTCAGTAATGTGTTTTATTTTTTGTTTTCAGTCTTTAACTTAGTAATTTGGGGGTTTTAAAAATTATTATTGTACATCTCCTGCTGAAAACCATATGAATGAATTCCTGATTTAGTATTAGAATTGTACTTTTTCTTCTTTTTTTGTGTTTATTTCTATTCTTAGTTATCTTTCATCCTCAACTAATATTATCTTTTAAAATTGGCTGGTAACAAATCGAAAAAAAATTTCTTGCAACATATTTGACAACCAAAGAGTTAATGTTTTTTCACATTAAAAAGCTCTTAGGATTAATAAATTGAAAACAGGAAATTCTCTGGTGATCCACTGGTTAGGATTCTGCACTTTCATAGTCAAGGACCCAGGTTTGATCCCTGGTTGGGGAATCTCCAAGCCCTGTGACGTGGCCAAAAATGAATAAATAGCAAAAACTTTAGTGGGAGTGGGACATAAAAGAACATAAATAGGCAGCCATACCCTGTATATGGATGGAAAGGTAATATGTTATAAATATGTCAACTCATGTCAGTTTAAGCTTTGAATTTATTGCAAGTTGAATCAGAATCTCAGGATTTTACTAAGTATAGGAAACTTATTAAATATGATGCTTACATGGAGGAATTAATTACCTGAGAATAAATGAGCAAGGAAAATTTTAAATGTACAACATTCAAGATAGTCAAGTTTATTAGAAAACCATGTATATTTTAAAACAATATAGTATTGGCAAAAGAACAGCAAAGAGGGAAATTGATTTCTAGGACATAGTAGACAGTGTACATGGAAGCTAAAGCATATTTAAGAATTTGTTTATATACTAAAGTTATAGGGCAATGCTGTGTTTAAACAGATGGGAGGAAGTTGCTTATCTGCGGGGAGTGTTAGACCTATACTTAACACCTTACACCAAAATGAATTCCAAGCAAATTAAGGATTTAAATATGGCAAATGATATCTTAAAAGCACCAAAATAGATTACTGGGTCAGTATCTTACAGTGAGGAATGACTGAAGTTCTTCTTTAAAGAAATTATTTTAAAAGTAACTTACAAATATAAAATGTGTCAAATGTTACAAAAATGAGTAATGTAGAATGTGAAGTCCTCTGTTAATTCATCTTGCCAATGCTGTAATACTGTCCTGGCATAGTGAAGGCTTCTCTAAGCATGAAACCAAAACCCAGGATGAAAAAAAGAAATGGATTCTGTTGAATACATTAAAAATTAGGGGGGAAATTGAAAGCACATTTTTAAAAAAGACTATGCAAATGACCAACCTAGACAGCATATTAAAAAGCAGAGTCATTACTTTGCCAACAGAGGTCCGTCTAGTGAAAGCTATGGTTTTTCCAGCAGTCATGTATGGATGTGAGAGTTGGACCATAAAGAAGGCTGAGCGCTGAAGAACTGAGGCTTTTGAACTGTGGTGTTGGAGAAGACTCTTGAGAGTCCCTGGGCAGCAAGGAGATCCAACCAGTCCATCCTAAAGGAAATCAGTCATGAATATTCATTGAAAGGACTGATGCTGAAGGTGAAACTGCGATACGTTGGCCACCTGATATGAAGAACTGACTCATTGGAAAAGACCCTGATGCTGAGAAAGATTGAAGGCAGGAGGAGAAGGGGACGATAGAGGATGACATGGTTGAATGGCATCACCGA